TTTTTTTTTCAGAGTCACAGAGCAGTTTGAGATTACTATGCATGCTTATTATACATTTTATTTTAACCATTGATAAGTTTTAAAGATTTTTTTGGTTTGTTTTTTGAAAACAGTGAGAGGAGAGGATTTTAGGGCTGTAAAACATACTAGGCTTGTTTCAAAAATTTAAAAAAATTTATTATTTTTTTAAAGCCAAAGCTCCATCTGCTGTTTTCATTAAAATCTCAGGAATTGTTCACATTGCCAAGAGCAGTTCTTTGAATACAGTCTGATGTTTAATCAAGCAGTGATATGTGATTTTCAAGGTCATTTTCTCTTATGACAAAAGAAAAGTCAAGAAGATTAATTTTCTCAAACAGTGATAAGATTTGTAACTGAATAATGGTTTAAGTAGATTTTATTACAGATATTTAAATATTAAAATACACATAATTATTTCTGTTTCTTAAGAATCAAATTTGAGAAATGTAAACAAATAAGTATTTTTTGAAACAGTGGCTTTTAATGGAATAAAAAATAAAAATTGTTTCTATTTGACTTCTGAGGTATTTATTCATTTGGTGGAGAGGGAATAGTGGGTTCACTTTCTAAAGTTTTGCCTAGCATAATATAAAAATTTTGCACTTCCTTAATATTTAAGAGGCTAGTAGGGGGATGGATGTCAAGAAGTATGATGGATTGGACTTTAAGATAGTGTGAACTTGAAAATAGTTAAAAATAAAATATGTGCATGGATAATCAATAGCCAACTACACAAATGTTCTTATAAAATATCAGCTTTTTAAAAGTTATTTTAACTAAGACTCCAAATCAATCTTCTAATGATCTATTAGCTCCTCATTATCTGGGTAAAAAATCTATGGCATACTGCCTTTACCTGGCCCCTGGTTTTTCTCCAGCTTCTTCCCTGACTACTTCCTCTTAAACCTGACCATCCAACCATGTTCAACCTCCTTGGAGTTTCCAAACGCTCTCTGAACCCTCGAGGCAGCCTGCCTTTGCCCTGTCGTTGACTCTGCCCGGCCACTGAACCAGACTTCTCATGTACCTTCTTCCACCCCAGGCAGCCATGCTTCTATACTGTGCTCCTTTTCATTTTTTAAATTTTTGTGATGACATTTTCCCCATTACACTGAAATTCTTTGACTCTAGCACGAGGATGGTGACTTTCACATCTTCAGATTCCCAGGACACCATATTGCAGTAGGTGCTCCCTGGTAGCATGAGGATGAACCAGTAGAGCCCACATTACTGTTTCAATGGAAAATGCTTTTTCCTTTCCACCAGAGAGTGCTGAACAAGAGTGCCCTTCTGAGAAACTGAAGGTGTCAGATACAGCAGTATGAGCCGGGAGACTCAAATCAGGATTATTTATTTCCAGCTTCAAAGTTATATTAAACAGTGAGTCTGCGCCAGTGAGGACTTCCTTGAGCTTTGACTAACTGGATGGAACTGGTGTCCTTTCCTGCTCCTTTCTGAGTGAAAAACCTCAGCTTGTTTTTTTATACATGCTTTGGTGACCCCCATAGTTAGATGCAGTTTCAATTGGACTTGACTTTTTTTAAATTTTAATCAACAAATTAGTTGAGTCTGTATTCAGTCATCCTGTTGTGTTATATTCACACATAACACTTGAAACATTTTGTTGTAAGTTATCTGATAAGAATCTAGTAACCCTCAACCAAGAGGGTTAAAGCCAATCATTTAACTTTAGGAACCTCAATATATTGTGAAGGCAGCCTTCTTTACTCCCATTCACATGATAGCATGGTGTTTTTCTTTATTTTGATTTTTTTTTAAAAGTTTGATACTTGCATTCAGATTATTTTAGCTCACATAGGATTTCTACTTTCATTTTCTTTAAAACCTGTTTTCTCTACTACACTTCCCACCTATCACATACTGCTTTGCCTTGTCATTTAATCCAGTAGGTGATGTGTTCTGGGAAATTAGAATATATACATGTTTTTCAAGTTTTTGTTATAACAGCTTTTTAAAAGTTATTTTAACTAAGACTCCAAATCAATCTTCTAATGATCTATTAGCTCCTCATTATCTGGGTAAAAAATCTATGGCATACTGCCTTTACCTGGCCCCTGGTTTTTCTCCAGCTTCTTCCCTGACTACTTCCTCTTAAACCTGACCATCCAACCATGTTCAACCTCCTTGGAGTTTCCAAACGCTCTCTGAACCCTCGAGGCAGCCTGCCTTTGCCCTGTCGTTGACTCTGCCCGGCCACTGAACCAGACTTCTCATGTACCTTCTTCCACCCCAGGCAGCCATGCTTCTATACTGTGCTCCTTTTCATTTTTTAAATTTTTGTGATGACATTTTCCCCATTACACTGAAATTCTTTGACTCTAGCACGAGGATGGTGACTTTCACATCTTCAGATTCCCAGGACACCATATTGCAGTAGGTGCTCCCTGGTAGCATGAGGATGAACCAGTAGAGCCCACATTACTGTTTCAATGGAAAATGCTTTTTCCTTTCCACCAGAGAGTGCTGAACAAGAGTGCCCTTCTGAGAAACTGAAGGTGTCAGATACAGCAGTATGAGCCGGGAGACTCAAATCAGGATTATTTATTTCCAGCTTCAAAGTTATATTAAACAGTGAGTCTGCGCCAGTGAGGACTTCCTTGAGCTTTGACTAACTGGATGGAACTGGTGTCCTTTCCTGCTCCTTTCTGAGTGAAAAACCTCAGCTTGTTTTTTTATACATGCTTTGGTGACCCCCATAGTTAGATGCAGTTTCAATTGGACTTGACTTTTTTTAAATTTTAATCAACAAATTAGTTGAGTCTGTATTCAGTCATCCTGTTGTGTTATATTCACACATAACACTTGAAACATTTTGTTGTAAGTTATCTGATAAGAATCTAGTAACCCTCAACCAAGAGGGTTAAAGCCAATCATTTAACTTTAGGAACCTCAATATATTGTGAAGGCAGCCTTCTTTACTCCCATTCACATGATAGCATGGTGTTTTTCTTTATTTTGATTTTTTTTTAAAAGTTTGATACTTGCATTCAGATTATTTTAGCTCACATAGGATTTCTACTTTCATTTTCTTTAAAACCTGTTTTCTCTACTACACTTCCCACCTATCACATACTGCTTTGCCTTGTCATTTAATCCAGTAGGTGATGTGTTCTGGGAAATTAGAATATATACATGTTTTTCAAGTTTTTGTTATAAGGCATGTGTGCTTGCCAGAGAGAGACAGAGGTGGAGAGAAAGTGAGAAATCATTCCCTGAGCAGGGGCCACGCCTCAGTCTCTTCTTCAGTTTCCTCTTGCGATTTTGGGCATGTATGCACATACATCTAGCATGATTTTCAAGCCACTGGGTCCAGGACTCGAACTGCATAGTTGGCCATGTGGGAACCAGTATCTTAACAAGTAGTTCTAGCCAGAACCTACCTGTTGGTCCCAGCTTCCACATTTTAAACTTGTGTTTTCTTCTTAGAACCTAGCCCAATACTGTATCATTAAGCGGTGCCTAATAAATAATAGGCTGACCGACTGAGTGCATCTTGGGGTCTTTACATGAGGATGTCTGAATCTCTCCTGGAGCGCTCTTCTGTTCCTTTCTCAGGCCGTTACTTTCTATCAGACGGCTAGATAGCCAGAACTCTAGTGTACTGAGCCCCAGTCTCTCTTCAGATTCCCTTCTGCCCCATCTTCTGGACTCCAGTGTTCTATGCTGCTGCTTCCAGAACTGCCTTCTCGGATCCTCCACGGGCACTGAGCTTTCTTGTTTACTGCTTCTGTTCTGTAGCGAAGCAGAACGAAAGGACTTTCTGATAGAGCAGTTTCAGATGTTTAATAAAATTTCATTGTGTACCCCTTTGACTCTCTCCAGTTAAGGCAAAGTTGGCAAGATATTTTCCAGGTTAAAGTCTTTAATCACCTTTGCCATTTCTTTTTCTCACTCTCTCGCAGGTTTCCTCCTGACTATTTCACAAAGCAGTTAGTATCGATTAGTTATTGAGAATCAGGAGAAATTGATCTTAGTTTGATTCAACCAGCATTTCTCGATTACTTATTATGTTCAAACCAAAGGTATTATGGAAAATTCCAAAGTGAACAAGATAAAAACACTTGCATTCTGGGGAAGGGGGAGGGCTAACATATGTCTAAATAAGTGAAATATTTATCAAACATGGTAAATGGGTAAGAGGTATAAAGAGCATATTCTGGGAGAAACACAAGAGGGTACAAGTTGAGGGTCCCTAATTCAAAAATCTGAAATATGAAATACTCCTAAGTTTGAAACATTTTAAGCACCTACGTGATGCTATAAGTGGAAAATCCTACACCTGACTTCATGCAATGGTTCACAGTCAAAATGTTGTAATATAAAAATAGTGTGTAAAGTTACCTTTGGGCTGTATGTGTAACATGATATGAAAAAGGTGAACTTTGTGTTTAGATTCGGGCCCCCTCCCCAAGATATCTTACTATATATAGTATAGATGTTTCAAAATATTCAGAAATCCGAATCTGGAACACTTCCGGTCCCAAGCATTTGTGTTAAGAGATAGTCAACCTGTAGTAGACTGGAACTGGAGAATCAGGGAAGGCCCCATGATGGACTTGGTCCTGAATGAGGAAGGAAGAAAGATCACTGTGATGGTAGCTTTTCCCACGAATTATTATTTTAGCAAAATTTCTTCAGAACTCTTCTTTTACTCATAAAAAGGAATACTGGAAGACTATCAGATAATTACCACACTTTTATTTACTAGGTAATTGATGTATTGTTTATTTCTTGATTAACAATAACCTGGCCTTCTTAGTATTAGTTGTTTCTTTCTTTCTTTTTTTTTTTTTTTGCTATAGCCTTTTAAATTAGTATAATACATTAAGTGATAAACCTTTTAATTAATGAAATGTTTTAATTAATTTAAAAAATAATAAAACATGTCTAGGTTTAATAAGCTACAGAGTATTTCTAAGGTGATTTTAATACCTGCTTTATTTATCCATGATTTTCAGGCAGCTTGGATTTTAAAAGCACGAGCACTGACTGAAATGGTGTACGTAGATGAAATTGATGTAGATCAGGAAGGAATTGCAGAAATGATTCTGGACGAAAATGCTATCGCTCAAGTTCCACGTAAGTATTGGTTTTTCAGTTAATGGAACACTATAAGGAGAAAAGAATACCATGTATATATAGGAGGAACATGTATGTAGTTCCTATATATTTAAATATATATGAACATTGTGTGCATGAAACACACACACACATATATATATATATGAAAAAAATGGCCTCAGGTATATGGTTTCTGTTCTGCCTCATAGCACGAAGGCTTTCCTTCTACAATTCAATTATATTATCTTAAATGTAAGGTGCAAGATTGATTTATAACAGTTTTCTAGTAAAAGCTATATCATGCACTTAAACATATTGGGTTGTCGGGGCCAGCAGGTGGCATGATGATTAAGGTGCTAGACTCCCATGTGGCTGCCCATGGTTCGACCCCCAGACCCATTGGCCTGAAACTCATGCGTGTGTGTGTGTGTGTGTGTGTGTGTGTGCGCGCACGCCCAAAATCTCAAGAGGAGAATGAAGAAGGGATTGTGGTGTGGCCATCATCCCCGGGGAATGATTTCTTGCTTTTTCTCTCTCTGTTTCTGTCTCTCTGGCCAGTATATGTGTGCCCAAAAATCTAAAAAAAAAAAAAAAAAAAAAAATTGGGTCGGAAAATTTATGTCGTATTTTTTCTATGTTTTTCTATGCAAAAATGCACCATGACTTTTCCGATGACCCAATATTTTACAAAAATGCATTTATTTGAACTGCTTGTCTAATAATATCATAAAGTTATATATGTGGGAATCTTTTTTTTTTCTTCATGATAGAGCATGTGCGTGTACACATGAGACAGGGGGGGCAGGGAGAGAGGGGAGCCCCCTCTGCTTGGTCACACCATTACCCTTTTCCTCCAGTCTTCCAGCCTGTCATATCTAGGGTACTCACACATGTGCCAGCATGTTTCTGGCCTAGTGGGCATGGGATTCAAACTGTGGTTGCTGTGTGGGATCCAGCTTCTCATGAACAACACATTATCATTGTGCTAGGTAGCTTAGCTTACCTGGGAGTTAAACACATGAAACATTCAAACATTAGATGAGTTCTAAAAGGACTTTAAAATTTGTAAACATCACTTCATTGTTATAATCAGAGATGATTTAATGTATGGTGTGAGATAATTAAGTGATATACTGTTCTCTGAGTGTCTATGGAGATTGTCACTGTCTTAGTCCATTTTATGCTGCTTTAGCAGAATACCTGAACCTGGGTAATTTATGAACAATAGAAGTTTACTTGACTCATAGTTCTGGAGGCTAAGAAGTTCAAGAGTATAAGATTGCACCTGATGAAGGTGATCATGCTGCATGGTAGAAGGTTGGAAGGGCAAGATAGAAAAAGGAGGCTAAATTCCAGTGATAACGAACTATAAATGACATTAGTCCATTAATGAAAGTAGAGCCCCAAGACCTAATCACCTCTTAAAGGTCTCACCTCTTAATACTGCCACAATGGCAATTAAATTTCAACATGAGTTTTGGAGGGGATGCCCAAACCATAGCAGTTGCAGAGGCCTAGTCCCAAGCATTGCAGGCGTGATGGTGCTAATACTATTGGATGGTTAGACATAGGGTGGTCTTGCTGGTGAATTATTAGTTTTTATAGTTCGTAATCATTTTTATGTTTTGAAAGGTAGTAGTTGTTTTAAAGATTCAAATGAGGGATTAGCAGATGGCGCAATGGTTACATTGCTGGACTCCCACATGACCAACCTCAGTTTGAGTCCTGGGCTCAGAGGCTTTAAATTCATGCCAGGCACATGTGTGTGCATGACCAAAATTTTAGGAGAATGGAGAAGGGATTGCAATGTGACCATCCCCCTAGGGAGTGCTTCCTCACTTTTGTCTCTCTGTCTCTCCAGTGAGTGTACATGCCCTATGACTCTTTTAAAAAATTCGAATGAAAATTAAGGAAAAAATGTGTTTCAGGTTAAGGTGTCTTTCCTGAACCTGGTGACTTGAAAATCACGCTGGGCACGAATGTGTGGGGACTGTGGCATGGCCATCTCGTGTGGGAGGTTTCCTTCTTTCTGTCTCTCTCTGGTGAGCACACATGCAAAAAAAAAAAAAAAAAAAAGTTTGAAAATGTTTGTGTGAAAAATAAACTATGAGTATAGAACCATCATTTTTGAACTTTGGAGCATACTAGTTTTGAGTTTGAATTCCAGCTCCCTACTAAGTTGATTTGTTTGCTTAATTCTGTAAACTTTTGCAAGTAAGCTAAAACTACCTACCTTACAGACTTATGTGAAGATTAAATATGACAACATAAGAATATAAGAGACATGATAGGTTCTCGGTAATATCAGTCCCACTTTTCCCTAATATACGTTTAATGCTATGAATGTCTTTTTCACCAGGGCAGAACGATTCTGAAAATTATATATTAGCTTATCAGCTAATATAGTTTTGTTTTGTTTTGTTTTTTTTTGAGAGTTTTTTTTCTACAGGGCATGTGCACCCTCCAGAAAGACAGAGACAGAAAGCGAGAAATCACCCCTTGGGGAGATGGCCACGCCACAATCCCATCTCTTCCATTCTCCTCTTAGGACCTTGGGCACACATGCACATGCCCCTGGCATGAGTTTAAGTCACTGGGTCTGGGACTCGAACCACGGTCGACTACATGGGAGTCCAGCGACATAGCCATTATGCCAACTGCTGGTCCCTAGCTGATAGTTTTTGCATACGGATAAACAACATATAAATAGAATTCGTCATCTCATCTCCTAGGTCCTGGGACATCTTTGAAACTCCCTGGAAATAATCAGACAGGAGGGCCTAGTCAAGCTGTCAGGTAGGTCCTTCTTTTTCATACTGTCTGCCACTAATTATTGACCAGTCTGTGTGAGAGTCTTTTCTTAATTGACCCTAACAATGGACAATCTTCACAGGCCAATCACTCAAGCTGGAAGGCCCATTACAGGTTTCCTTAGGCCCAGCACACAGAGTGGAAGGCCAGGCACTATGGAACAGGCCATCAGGACACCCAGAACTGCTTACACCGCCCGCCCCATCACTAGCTCCTCCGGAAGATTTGTCAGGCTGGGAACGGTAAATTCTGTCAGCTTTCCCATAGCCTGTTTACCAAAGTAACTTTATTTTATGTAGCATTACTTTCCTGTGATTATAATAGAAACGATAGAAAGGCGATTTTTTATGTTGTCTTTATAATTTTTATGTATATTAATCTCAATTCATGTTTCAAGAGAAAGTTTCAGATTTCTTGTTCTATCCTTTTTTCCCCCTTAGGCTTCCATGCTTACAAGTCCTGATGGACCATTTATAAATTTATCGAGACTGAATTTAACAAAATATGCTCAGAAACCTAAATTGGCAAAGGTATGTACTTAAAACAATTTTAAGTTATGAAGTTGTATTAGAAGTATGACATGATAGCTGGTCAACACTGGGTGAGCCAGAGTGCAGTCTGCTCCAGGCAGTCCAGAATTATAAAGCTGTCTCCAGAGATTTGAAAAAATGGCAACAAATGAAAGTGTTTGCATCTTTAGTTCAGCATCCTTGGCTGTGGAGTTTGTAGACTCACTTTTGCCTGAGAATCCTTTGCAAGAACCGTTTAAAAATGCTTGGAACTACATGTTGGATAGTTATACAAAGTTCCAGATCACAACATGGGGATCCCTGACAGTTCATGAAGCCCTTTATTTCTTGTTCTCTTTACCTGGATTTTTATTCCAATTCATACCTTACATGAAAAGATTCAAAATTCAGAAGGATAAACCAGAAACATTGGAAGGCCAATGGAAATGTTTTAAAGTACTTCTTTTTAATCACTTCTGTATCCAGCTACCTTTGATTTGTGGGACCTATTATTTTACAGTTTTTCAATATTCCTTATGATTGGGAAAGAATGCCAAGATGGTGCATGTTCTTGGTAAGATGCTTCGGCTGTGCCATCATTGAAGATACTTGGCACTGTTTCTTGCATAGGCTCTTACATCAGAAAAGAATGTATAAATATATTCATAAAGTTCTTCATGAATTTCAGGTTCCATTTGGAATGGAAGCTGAATTTGCATACCCTTTGGAAACCCTAATTCTTGGAACTGGATTTTTCATTGGAATCTTGCTTTTGTGTGATCATGTCACTTTTCTCTGGGCATGGGTGACTGTTTGATAGAAGCTATTGATGTTCATAGTGGGTATGATATTCCCCTCAATCCCCTAAATCTCATCCCTTTCTATGCTGGGTCTTGGCAGCACGACTTCCACCACATGAACTCCCAATTAATAATCAGACATCTCAGTAAGGATTACTCAAGTGAGACAGTGGCAAATCAACTACATTGGTAATTCTAACTACTAAAGATGAAATGCTCCTTTAAATTAAAGAGAAAGGGAGAGGTGGAAGAGGTAGGGAGGAAGAGAATGTGGGGAAGGGAGAGAGAAAGGAGGGTGTCTGTGACCTTCCAGTATAAAGACCTTGGAGGTGAACTTACAGTCATTCAGGATCACTTATCTTCCGGAAACTGTTTTAAGCCTAGCCCAGGTTTTTGAAATAGGTTAGGTCTCTGAACTCTGTGCATGAGTGCTAAACTTATTTGTAATCTCAGTTCTAATGGTGTCTATCATATTTACTAAATGTCAAATACTCCAGGGAAAATAAAAATGAGCACTAGCTGTAAAGATCTGAAGTTTAAATTTGAAAATAAAAATGCCATTTGGTGGACAGGGGATGTAATATGTTAACGACTTTTTCTTAAATTCTTGTTTGATAGCAATCCACTCAACTTCGTTTGGTGGAATTGTAAAACTTTGCTCTTAGTGTTTCCTTTATGAGAGTGAAGAATTAAAAGTAACTCATAAGGTCTATCTGGTTTCCTACTTTTTTAGGCCATTTACTTGAGGTAACTTGGCTGACTAGTTGATACCATCACTCCATCACTGTTTCCCCCCCCCCCCCCCCAGGAAGGTGTATGTACTTACTGGAGAGAGAGGAAGAGAAAAAGAGATAATGTGAAAAAGCACCCTGAATGGGGATGGTCACGCTGTAGGCCTTTTTCACCCATTTATCCCTCCTTTTGAGGTTTTTGGTACACATGCACACCTGTCCAGGGTGTTTTTCCAAGCTGCTGGATCCAGAACTTAAAACTTGCAGTTACTATGTGGAATCCAGCTGTCTTTTTTTTTTTTTTTGAGAGGTTTTTGCTATAGGACGCGTATGCTCGCTGGAAAGACAGAGAGAGACGGAGAGACAGAAAGCAAGAAATCACCCCCCAGGGGAGATGGCCACGCCACAATCCCTTCTCCTCCATTCTCCTCTTGGGATCTTGGGCACGCACACACATGCACCCGGCGTGAGTTTAAGCCACCAGGTCTGGGACTCGAACCGTTGTTGACTACATGGGAGTCCAGCGACATAGCCGTTATGCTAACTGCTGGTCCCAGGAATCCAGCTGTCTTAACTACATCCACCATGCGCTGGTTGGTCTCTTAGCTGTCATTATTAATGTCATACTCACTGTGTAATACATTTAAGAGTGGACAAAACTGGTTAACTCTGTTTTATGACGATCTTAAAATTGGTCTTTAAGAAATAAATTTTGAATTATTTTTTCCTAATAAAATAGTATGTTTAATGTGGAAGAAGTGTTTAATTCAGGGAGCTTTCCAGTTTGTATTTTGTTAAAAACAGGAATTAATTGTAAATGGTAGTATTTTAAAATGCTTGGTTATAATAAATGATTGATGGACCCTTTACTTATAAATCCCCAACACTTTATAGTATCCTGTTTTGTTTTGTTTTGCTTTGTTTGATTCAATCCAGCTTTGAGTTTGGATATGACAATAGAGTACTTTTGTTAAAATAAAATCTAAAGAATTTTTGGTGTTTGTCTCCCACAGGCTTTGTTTGAATATATCTTTCATCATGAAAATGACGTTAAGACTGTAAGTTCTAAATTTATGCTGTTTTCTTTTATTATAATTTTTCTGACTTGGGAGTTTAGATTTTGAAATGTTTTCTTTTTTTCCTTATAAACAAACAGAATTATTAAAGACTGGAGAGTTACAAAACTTTCAAATCAGTTTCAGTGGGAAATATATGTAAATATAGAGTGGTAAGAACAGTGCCTGCTTCTTAGAATATGTAGATCTCGGGACCGGCAAGTGACCTGGTGGTTAAGGCACTGGACACTTCCGCATGGCTGACCATGGTTCGAGTCCCAGACCTGGTGGCTTGTTTTCTCACTTTCCTCTTTCTCTCTTTCTCTGTGTCTCTCTCTGGTCAAATTAAAATAAATGAATGGATAAATAAGATGGAATAAAATAATTCTTTTAAAAATATGTAGATCTCTGATAATGGGCAAAATATTATTGGGAATACTGTGTAATAAATATGCTTGTGTTAAAGATTTTCTTTGTATTAAAAGTTGATCTATTTTTTTTTCTTTAGTCCATATATTGCATCATAGGGTTGCTAAAACATGTATTTATGGTTTCTTTGTAGTGTGACCTTCTTAATTAAGTTATTGAAGACACATCCATTCTTTCTTCTATTGATTTGAGCCACTTCATGTGCCGGGCACTCTTGTAGACCTGAGACAACAGAGTGAAGCAGGCAGACAAAAATCTCTGCTATTTTAGACATTTTATTCTGGTTGAGCAAGGAATATAAATAATATGCATATTTAAAATATATTAAAATGTCATAGAATAATAATTACTATAGAAACAAAACTCAGGAAAGCAGGGGAGGGTCTAGATAATGGTTGAAGTGGAGTTGGTCAGTAAAGTGTACTCTGAAATGAAAACATTTGAGCAGAGACCTGAGTGACAGAGACGGGAGCCTTGTGCCTGTGTGGGAAGAGCACTGCATCAGAGAGAACTTTTGTGCATAGGCACTGAATAGAAAGATGCTTAAGTTTTTCATTTCTTTTTTTGTTTAATTGCCCAAGGACATGTGCACTCACCAGAGAGACAGAGAGAAAAAGAGTGAGAGAGAAAACCCCTCAATGAGGACGGGTCAGGCGGCAGCCCTTTTTCCTCCTTTCGTGCCTCCTGTCAGGATTCTGGCGTGCACACACATGTACCCAGTGTGTTTTTCAAACTCCCACGATCAGATTTAAACTGCAGTTCACTATATGGCATCTGGGTCTCCATGCGCAGCGCTAACTGCTGGTCTATAGGGCCAGCCCCGGCTTTGGGGTTTTAAGGAACTGCAAAGAGGCCAGTGTGGCTGGAGTGAGGATTGTGAGGAAGAGTTGCAGGAGATGAATTTGGAAACTAGGCAGATCGGATGCTGTTTTATAGGTCATGGCGATGTTGTCTTTGTTAATAGAATCATCTTCTGGATGTTGTTCCACATCTTACGATTTACATAATGTGGAGGACTAGAAAACACACTTTTAAAAAACAGGATTTATTCCTGGCACTACTGAATTTACATTCTAAGGAGTCTAATAGTAGCGGACTTTAACCTTTATATATTACATTAGCATTATAGAGTGCTTCTGAATTCTTCATATAGATTTTTTTAGAGAATTATTTCATTTATTGTTATTAATATTATTTAATTTTGACCAGAGAGAGACAGAGAGTCAGAGAGAGAAAGAGAGAGTAAAAAAGCAAGCTGCCAGGTCTGGGACCCGAACTATGGCCAGCTGTGTGAGAGTCCAGCACCCTAGTTACCACACCACCTGCCAGCCTCCGTACACATGATTTTTAAAAATTTCTTAAACAAATACGGCAGTGACTTTCCAACTTTTTGTTTAAGCAGCAAACCTCTTTCTTCGAATGAAATCATAGCCAGACCTTGACAGACAACAGTTGAGCTGCTTCAGTCACAGCAGGGGAGCAAATTTAGAACATACCCCGTGAGACTCCTCCTTGCTCCTGCCACCCAGGAGCTTCTGCCCCTCAGAACTTAGGGGCAGATATTTCGGTCTTGTAGTTTCTAAATCAGGTTCATTTCTGATTACCTGGGGGATTTTGAAATAATGGATTTCTGTCTTCCAGACTTCCTGAGTCAGAATCCCTGAGGGTACGTCTGGTGACTCTGTTGTTAATAAAAGCTCCACAGCCAATGCTAATTTTCGGGCAAGATTGGAAACTACTGCTGTAGAGCATAATTTAAAAACCAGTGGTGAATATAAGCCTGTGAGCTTGGCCTTCT